ACCACAAAAGTATTTAGCTTGAATTCGGTTTGACGTGGCTTCAAATCTGCTCAGTGTGCCGTAAAAAGTATTCAACCACGTGGTATTTAAATGCACACGACATGCCACAAAACAAGTAGTTTTCCTACGTTATTAGAAAACCGACGTTTGTTTTGTTTGATATTCTCATATTAAGACGTGCATTTCTGCTAATTCTAGGCTGACATATTACAGGAACAATGTTGGCTTTTATGACACATGTTTCACTAGTTGTCAACCCCCAAAAGACAATCATGATTTGATGTCCGAAAATGCATAATAATTATTAATATGATTGATTGATCATTGGGTAAAATGAACATCGACGTGGCTTAGATTTGGCTAAAATCACGCGAATCCCACGCGATCACTACCCACCAAGGATACACTGTCCATGCCATGTTATGTTGAAGTGATAGGTCATTTTAAGGAGAAGACACGAGTAACTGGACACTCGTTACAGATAATGTATGGGTCAGCGATGTAACGAATGTCCAGTTAGACTTAAAATACAGCACCAAAGTAACAAGTTACTGGCTACTCAGACATAAGGTGAGTTGAAATGGGGTTTAACGTCGCGTCCAAGATTATTGCACTTATATAGCGACATGCATGCACGTGTATTTGTGTGTGTGGCTGCTTGTACTAGTCCGGACTGATGCCGATTTATAGTGCTAGTTCACTGAGATACCATGCCGCAGTTTAACATGAATACCCCACTCAGACACAGTATACTGACTCCGAGCCGACCAGTCCTTGTTTTAGCCCCTTAATGCCGAACGCCAGACAGGGTAACAACAAGTACCATCTTTTAACGACTTTTGGTATGACGCGGTCGGGGATCGAACCCTGGACCTTCCGCTCTCCGGGCGGAAGGCTCTACCATTAGACCACGGAGGCGGTCTACTCAAACATAAGATACAGCCTGAAATTGAATGAATTAATATGAATTTTCAGATATCAAATTATTTTGTTTCTTTTAAATATCAAATTGGAATAGTACTAGCTCAAACACAACGTATGCAACACCGAATACTGTCACACGTGTAGTAAGTTTTCGGTTCGAAATAGCATCATCTATTGTTTTTGAAAAGAAGGAAACAGCACCGTTGCAAAAACGGAGTGAGTGAGTTGGATTCAGCACCGCTTTGAACAGTATTTCAGCTCATATCCAGAGATGGTCCTGAAATTGCATAATGCATGTGCCTCGGGTTTATAGTGAGTGAGTATGGTTTAGCGCCGCTTTTAGCAATATTCCAGCAATAACACGGTGGGGGACACCAGAAATGGGCTTCATACATTATACCCATGTCGGGAATCAAACCCAGGTCTTACGCGTGACCACTAGGCTTCCCGACCGCCTCCTCGGGTTTATAATGCACACATTACGATGGAGATATACACGCATTATGTTGCACGACCAGCCAACGTTTTCAGCGTGGCGAGCTTACACATTAACCATTGGGCTACAATGGCGCCAAGACAAACAGGAATTGTCATGCGTTTGCGTTCATAACGAACAAGAGGTACGGGTGGCCAGGTCGTCCAAGGCACCGCAATTCGCTATGCAGAGTTGCGTCTTTTGGGCACGCCAGAAACCTATGATTGTGGGTTCGAATCCCGGTTCGAGAATCGTTCTGTATTTGTGTTGTCCGCCAAATGCGTTTCATCAAAGAAGTAAACGACTTTCACGTCTTTCAGTTTTCCTCCCACATGATGCTGAAAGGTAATATAACTGAAAACTGTTCAAGCCGTTAATAACAGTAATTATACGAAAATGACTCACTGAGTCTTAACTTATCATTATATGCCCTGCATAACGTGGTCATAACTTCATACCAGGTCTTACCAGGAGAAAGTAAAACTTCATACCAAGTCTTACCGGGGACATGTAAAACTTCATACCAGGTCTTACCAGGAAAATGTAAAACTATATACTAGGTCTTACCAGGGACATGTAAAACTTCATACCAGGTCTTACCAGGAAAATGTAAAGCTTCATACCAGGTTTTACCAAGGAAATGTAAAACTTCATACCAGGTCTTACCAGGGACATGTAAAACTTCAAACCAGGTCTTACCAGGGACATGTAAAACTTCATACCAGGTCTTGCCAGGAAAATGTAAATCTATATACCAGGTCTTACCAGGGAAATGTAAAACTTCATACCAGGTCTTACAAGGAAAATGTACAATTTCATACCAGGTCTTACCAGGAACATGTAAAACTTCATACCAGGTCTTACCAAGAAAATGTAGAACTATATACCAGGTCTTACCAGGGAAATGTAAAACTTCATACCAGGTCTTACCAAGAAAATGTAGAACTATATACCAGGTCTTACCAGGGAAATGTAAAACTTCATACCAGGTCTTACCAGGGACATGTAAAACTTCAAACCAGGTCTTACCAGGGACATGTAAAACTTCATACCAGGTCTTGCCAGGAAAATGTAAATCTATATACCAGGTCTTACCAGGGAAATGTAAAACTTCATACCAGGTCTTACCAGGAAAATGTACAATTTCATACCAGGTCTTACCAGGAAAATGTAAAACTTCATACCAGGTCTTACCAAGAAAATGTAGAACTATATACCAGGTCTTACCAGGGAAATGTAAAACTTCATACCAGGTCTTACCAGGGACATGTAAAACTTCATACCAGGTCTTACCAGGGACATATAAAACTTCATACCAGGTCTAACCACAATGGCACGCATCAACCAAGTCAGCGAGCCTGACCACCCGTCCCTGTTAGTCACCTTTTACGACAAGCATGGTTGGCTGAAGGCCTATTCTACCCGGATCTTTACGGGTCCTAACCTCAAAGAGTGGTATTTAATGTTCATTTGATTTACTACTTCGTTTGTTGTTTAACATCGCATTCAACAATATTTCAGTCATACAACGGCAATTTCCTTAAAATCCGATTCGATTGCGATGTCCTTGCTGCGCGAATGCTACCTCCGTGGTAGGTCGCGTGAGGTTTCTAAATTCTCTGTACGAGTGAGCGAAGCATTTACTGATTTTGTAGAAAATAAACACGATATGTTAATTTTGATTACATCTGCTACGTTCAAATGCTGCTTACAGGAAATAGGAGCGTTCAATTATTGACCCTTAATGCCACCCCAGACATTTCAAAGTGTACAATCAAGAGAATTTAATAAATATGACGCGTCGTGTGTTAACATGAGTGAGTGAGTATGATTTTACGGCGCTTTTAGTAATATTCCAGCAACATCACTGCTCACTGCTCACGATGCTGACAGAGGATTGTCAGGTCTAGACTCCACTGTTTACCGGTCACCGGCGTATGGCTAAAGTGAGTGAGTGAGTGAGTATGGTTTTACTCTGATTTTAGCAATATTCCAGCAATATTCAAGCAATATCACGGCGGGCGGGAGATTGCTGAGTCAGGCATTATAAATTGAACAAGGAAACAGACGTGAGAATTGTGTGAGTGACGGGTACTATCGGAAGGGCAGTGAATGCTTATCCTGTCGCGAATATCTGTCACCATTCCCTTTTAGTCATCCATTCACATAATTGTCATCACTCTTATGCCGTTTTCGTCCCATTGAATCTATTACAGCAGATAATCCAGATTGATTATTATCTGGCGTTGACGTATGACTTTACATATTCGTTATAATAATCCTTTATGAGTATCTAAATAAAAGCGACCAAATTCACGAATCTCTATTTGCAAGTGATTCGTTAACACATGCTCATGGTATTGTCGGAATCGGCTTTGCTTTTAGCAGAAATTCCTTATGATTTGAAATGGTATGTCGCTTTTAATTACAATAATAAAATAGCTGAAGAAATCAAAGATTCTTTAAACAGACGAAATTTTGGAACAATTACTACAACCATCAAGACCAGTTGTTCAACACCGCATTCAGCCATATTTCAGATATATGACGGCGGTCTGTACCAGACAATCAAGAGATTGATATCATGAACATTTATCTAATTGGTATACAATGGCATGCACCTACCAAGTCAGCGAGCCTGACCACCTGATCGCGTTAGTCGCCTCTTACGATAAGCATAGTCGCCTCTTACGATAAGCATAGTCGCCTCTTACGATAAGCATAGTCGCCTCTTACGATAAGCATAGTCGCCTCTTACGATAAGCATAGTCGCCTCTTACGACAGGTCCATAATATAAGCACATATACTGCAATAGGTATTCCTACTTCAGAGACTTCCTTGATAGATAAGCCCGTTAGAAACCCAGAATGTTATGTGTCTTTGTAAGTCTATATTGACTCTCACGTGTGTGAACATTTCACTGACTTCCCATGTACTTGCCGGAATCGTACACCAAACTCTTGCAAACATTTCTTATGATTATGGAAAGGGTTTTGACGCTTGTATTTAAATTGTCCGTCTTTCCCTTCTCTCCATGTTGAATATTGGCACTGTACTCTTTGTGCACTGATCTCTCAGAAGGGTCAGTCTGTTGACCGGTGCTGTCATCGATCGGGGACAATCGTTACATGGTCCCGAGAGCTGCCAAACCCAATTGAATACCCTATCAAACCTGAAGTTATGGTCTGGTACTATGTATCGATGCATTCAATTGATTCCATAACACCTGGTCACCCTCTGCAGTGTCTGCTGAAGATTATACCACCAAAGACAGAATTGTTTTTGAAAACTAATTACAAGTAACTAATGACACTAGCCCGTCCCTGATCTGATTTCAGATGTAAAACATTCCCGAGACAATACCTTACGGGTTTTTAACATTTGTCTTTTACTTGGACTTTATTGACGAGAAACTTCAAAAGAAGAGTTCAGGGGAAGGGAGGCGGCATCATTAGGGACGAGTAAGCACCATGATTTATTGTTCTCCCTTTTGGCCATTGTTGCAATTTGGATCAAAGCCAACATGACTGAATCCGATGGACCGACGTGAGTCACACACAGCCATACCTCGCCTACATATTAGTAACTCCGTCACCGGAGGCGGGAGATGGTCTTTGGTAGCTGGATACAAGCTGGTATTGAACTTGAACCTCACCGCCCACTGTCCGCCTCGTATACACACTGTATGTGTATTAATATCTCGCAGTCAGTTGTTTGACATTCACATTCACGACTTCACGAGGAAATCTTACATTTCAGACATCGCCTAGGTAAGATGTATCCCAACGGAGCCATAGGTGAGTTTGCCACTTGTGATATACGTTGTGATGTTAAGAAGCTAGTGATATGTGACTCTGTGTATCTGTATGGTAAAGGTGTACATGTATATAATTTCATTTCGAGGACAATGCTAATTTGTTTAGATTGTATCGTGAACTTTTTTACCAGGTAAGTTGTTGAAATACAATGTTGTCGGTCTTTTGTTCCGGTTTTGGAATAGTTCCAGTCTGTCTGGAAATGGAGCGAACGCATGGTCCTGAAGCCAGTCCAAACAGCATGGTGGCTTTAAACCTGGGCCAGTGCCTATGACACAACATAATTCCTTTCTTTCTACTCCGTAAAACTGTTAAACTGAACCTGTAGCTATAACACACCATTATGTCATTTTGTTACTCTGTAAAACTGATAAACTGAACTGAAGCTATAACACACCATTATGTCTTTTTGTTACTCCGTGAAACTGATAAACTGAACTTGTAGCTATAACACACCGTTATGTCTTTTTGTTACTCCGTAAAACTGATAAACTGAACCTGTAGCCATAACACACCATTATGTCTTTTTGTTACTCCGTAAAACTGTTAAACTGAACCTGTAGCTATAACACACCGTTATGTCTTTTTGTTACTCTGTAAAACTGTTAAACTGAACCTGTAGCTATAACACACCGTTATGTCTTTTTGTTACTCTGTAAAACTGTTAAACTGAACCTTTAGCTATAACACACCATTATGTCTTTTTGTTACTCCGTGAAACTGATAAACTGAACCTGTAGCTATAACACACCGTTATGTCTTTTTGTTACTCTGTAAAACTGATAAACTGAACCTGTAGCTATAACACACCGTTATGTCTTTTTGTTACTCCGTAAAACTGTTAAACTGAACCTGTAGCTATAACACACCGTTATGTCTTTTTGTTACTCTGTAAAACTGTTAAACTGAACCTGTAGCTATAACACACCGTTATGTCTTTTTGTTACTCTGTAAAACTGATAAACTGAACCTGTAGCTATAACACACCGTTATGTCTTTTTGTTACTCTGTAAAACTGTTAAACTGAACCTGTAGCTATAACACACCGTTATGTCTTTTTGTTACTCTGTAAAACTGATAAACTGAACCTGAAGCCATAACACACCATTATGTCTTTTTGTTACTCTGTAAAACTGTTAAACTGAACCTGTAGCTATAACACACCGTTATGTCTTTTTGTTACTCTGTAAAACTGATAAACTGAACCTAGACATGTAGCTATGGCAATGAAAGTTAATTTAGCTTTAGATTATCAATGTGTGAATTCGTTCGATATACAAATATTTTGTATATTAATTTTTGCTGTTACTTGAATATTCTAGTGCTCACTCCCATTGTAACTAAATCGAATTTATTTTAATATTTTTTTGAAATATTTAAAGCACATTTTGTATAGTTTTCATCAGTAATGTTAACAAACTCATATTGTGTTAGAACTACGTACTACATATACCCGACAAATTTCTACATCAATGGAATTATGTATATACGCGGCTATTCTCTCTTTGTAATGTCTGGTCTCACCTGTAATTTGATATATTTGTCCCTATAATTGAATCGTTACCATTTTGCCACCGACACCTGTAATTTGAAATATTTGTCCTGTCATTGAATCGTTACCATTTTGCCACCGACACCTGTAATTTGAAATATTTGTCCCTACAATTGAATCGTTAGCATTTTGCCACCGACACCTGTAATTTGAAATATTTGTCCCTACAATTGAATCGTTAGCATTTTGCCACCGACACCTGTAATTTGAAATATTTGTCCTGTCATTGAATCGTTACCATTTTGCCACCGACACCTGTAATTTGAAATATTTGTCCCTACAATTGAATCGTTAGCATTTTGCCACCGACACCTGTAATTTGAAATATTTGTCCCTACAATTGAATCGTTAGCATTTTGCCACCGACACCTGTACTTTGAAATATTTGTCCCTATAATTGAATCGTTACCATTTTGCCACCGACACCTGTAATTTGAAATATTTGTCCCTATACTTGAATCGTTACCATTGTGCCAACGACACCTGTAATTTGATATATTTGTCCCTATAATTGAATCGTTAGCATTTTGCCACCGACACCTGTAATTTGTAATATTTGTCCTGTCATTGAATCGTTAGCATTTTGCCACCGACACCTGTAATTTGAAATATTTGTCCCTACAATTGAATCGTTAGCATTTTGCCACCGACACCTGTACTTTGAAATATTTGTCCCTATATAATTGAATCGTTACCATTTTGCCACCGACACCTGTAATTTGAAATATTTGTCCCTATACTTGAATCGTTACCATTGTGCCAACGACACCTGTAATTTGATATATTTGTCCCTATAATTGAATCGTTAGCATTTTGCCACCGACACCTGTAATTTGTAATATTTGTCCTGTCATTGAATCGTTAGCATTTTGCCACCGACACCTGTAATTTGAAATATTTGTCCCTACAATTGAATCGTTAGCATTTTGCCACCGACACCTGTACTTTGAAATATTTGTCCCTATAATTGAATCGTTACCATTTTGCCACCGACACCTGTAATTTGAAATATTTGTCCCTACAATTGAATCGTTACCCTTTTGCCACCGACACCTGTAATTTGAAATATTTGTCCCTATAATTGAATCGTTACCCTTTTGCCACCGACACCTGTAATTTGAAATATTTGTCCCTACAATTGAATCGTTACCCTTTTGCCACCGACACCTGTAATTTGAAATATTTGTCCCTATAATTGAATCGTTACCATTTTGCCACCGACATCTGTAATTTGAAATATTTGTCCCTATAATTGAATCGTTACCATTTTGCCACCGACACTTGTAATTTGAAATATTTGTCCCTATAATTGAATCGTTACCATTTTGTCAACGACACCTGTAATGTGAAATATTTGTCCCTATAATTGAATCGTTACCATTTTGCCACCGACACCTGTAATTTGAAATATTTGTCCCTACAATTGAATCGTTACCCTTTTGCCACCGACACCTGTAATTTGAAATATTTGTCCCTATAATTGAATCGTTACCATTTTGCCACCGACATCTGTAATTTGAAATATTTGTCCCTATAATTGAATCGTTACCATTTTGCCACCGACACTTGTAATTTGAAATATTTGTCCCTATAATTGAATCGTTACCATTTTGTCAACGACACCTGTAATGTGAAATATTTGTCCCTATAATTGAATCGTTACCATTTTGCCACCGACACCTGTAATTTGAAATATTTGTCCTGTCATTGAATCGTTACCATTTTGCCACCATCACCTGTAATTTGTAATATTTGTCCTGTCATTGAATCGTTACCATTTTGCCACCCACACCCGTAATTTGTAATATTTGTCCTGTCATTGAATCGTCAACGTTTTGCCACCTACACGTAATACTGAGAAGTGTCTGCGAATGTGATACTGCTTGACGGAAAGGGTGGGCAGTGAGACACGGGGTCCATATTGCCGTCATTCACCCTTGCCACAAACAATACGACATGGTGCGATTGGGATCTGAACTTGTTTAGCCATCACTGATTTTCAGTGATCCATTCATATGCCTTTCACAACTATTTTGTCTTTTACGAACCTGGAATCTATTTCGAAGGATAATCGAGACTTATATTTAAGAAATAAACGAGGAGGAGGAGTTGTTTATCGTACAGTAAAACAATGCAGGGAGGACCCCGAGTCGCTGAGTTCTTATAAGACACATCAACATCATGTACAGCCACTTTAAGGATGTTGATAAAATGTACACGCTTTAATAATATTAACCCAAATATTAATAAGGTTGACTCCCTGAATAGAATCCGACCTCGGACTTGTCGGACAAGACCATTTTCCGAACAGGTGGGTTAAGTTTGGTATTTCCCTCACATTCTCACAATACCCTGAGACGTAATTTGTGAAACCTTTTTGCAAGATACACCGGCGAAACAACTCCATGTGACGTCAGCCTACAAACGGGGTTGTTGGTGTCATCGAGCGTGCATAAGCTCCTCTCATCGATCTATCATCTCTACACACAATGTCTTTGAAAAGCCCAGGGACGTTTAGGAGTTTTCAATATTTGTTAGTGAAACTACTTCCCGCAGTACATAATTACGCTCTTTGAAATACAACACTGTGTAATTCAAGCTTATCGTTATTAAACAGTAAAATTGTCAACAGCCGAGTAATAAACGATTTTATGAACTCGGTTATTTCGAACCCTACGAGGAAAGGTAACGAAAATAATGATACACAGGCTTGCATCGCCAGTCTTATATTAACACACCCTTACTCTTTCCGACCCGTGTAATCGGAGCAGTGTATGATCATATTGCATCCTCAGCGCCCTGGGTCGTATGTGTTTTTGTAAAAAACATCTATGCATGGCAAGTGGTAAATCCAATGACGATTGGCTGCCTGTCTACTCAATTCTTCTCCTCATTCTGAATCGATGATGTATTTTACTTGATTAAAGTCGGCCATTAATGAGTTTTGGGATAAGTACCAGCGCCAAGTGTCAGAGAGTGATTGTATTGCGTGTGTTGGGTATATAAAACCTTGCAATCAAGGTATCGGGGATCAGTAACACATCATTTTTTTAGCTAATTTGACGCAAAGTATTTCTACAAAATGATTGATCCAAAATACACAGAAGCAATTGATACTATACGAAAAGTTTCCGAAGTGTACTATGTAATAATGTCTTCTTTATTCAAACGCCAAAAGAGGAAACAAAGAAGTGACGTATGTCAATGTATCATATTATGTGATTACCACACAATTACGCAAATTTCCCTTAATAACTTCGCAAATCTCACAACAGCGCCTCGATAATGCCACGTGCAATTTGTTAAAAAAGTAAAAGAAAGTATGCGCTTGAAAGTTGGATTTGACCGAACATTACAAACGTTACAACAGTCGCCGAAACACAGCAGACTTAGGATCCCAAACACAACTAGCATACCACTTTCAAATACA